CGTCAAAATATTTCAACCTAGCAAACTCTAAAACAGTCTTGTTCATTATCTTGGAACAGTATTTAATTATTTTATTCTATTTTTCTGATGTTAAGCTTCAAATTAAAGTTATAGGATCTTTAAATTTTGTTTTGTTTTGATTTTTTTGTGCTGGAATATAAGATTTATGACTTAAAAGTACTCTGAGATTTAGGTAACAGATCTGATTTACTTCTTAACAGGAAGTTAAAGAGCCTTTCAGCATTTTATAGACTTTGTGAGAGTCCCTTTTGAACCTTGTCATTGACCCTAAGCTGAAGGAATGAATACAAGGAAAACAGACATTGGATAATTGACAAATATATTTGCTTTTTTAAGGGTGTATACTGTGGTGATGATTGCATTTGCTCTCTTATTATCTTGTTAATGGCAGTTTTTAAGAGAAAATTAAAATGATAATTTTAAAATTATCATTGTGTAATTTAAAAAAAAGATTATGTATGTTGTAATATATTATTTCTTCACAGGAACTACAGTGAACATATACTTTATAATCAAGTTTAAATTTTTATATTTACTATACTACTGTAGTAGTATTAGGACCTGTGTGAACCTCAGTTTCTCTGTCTTTAAAATGAACATGATATCAGTCTCTTAGAACTCTTGAGAGGAATAAATGGAGTTGTGTACATTTGGCTGGAGCGATAGCACAGCAGTAGGGCGTTTGCCTTGCATGCAGCCGGCCCAGCAGAGCCAGGTTCGATTCCTCCGCCCCTCTCAGAGAGCCCGGCAAGCTACTGAGAGTATCTCGCCTGCACGGCAAAGCCTGTCAAGCTACCGTGACGTATCCAATATACCAAACACAGTAACAACAAGTTTCACGAGATGGAGATGTTATAGGGCCCACTGGAGCAAATCGATGAACAGGAGGACAGTGCTACAGTGCTACAATGTGTATATTTATGTACAAAGTGTCTGGGCTGGAGCTATAGTACAGCGGGTTGGGTATTTGCCTTGCACAAGGCCGACCCGGGTTTTATTCCCAACATATGGTCCCCTGAGCACCGCCATGAGTAATTCCTGAGTGCAGAGCTCCTGTACATCGCCAGGTGTGACCCAAAAAGGAAAAAAAAAAGAAAAGAAATGTATGAGGTGTATAATAGGCATTCAAATTTCAAACATTTATTTTCTTCTTGAAATTCTCATTTTATGTTTAAGAAGGTAACGGTGAAGATAATACTATCCTGGAGGAAATAGTAACAAAAATTTTGTAGCACACTGAGATGAGTGATCTGGCTACCTTTTAAAGTAGATTAACTTTGCATATCACAGAATTACAAATGACAGTATGATTCTGCATTTATTCAGATATGTTTACTGAGCACTACCTACTGCGATTCTTAGAATCCACTTGTGAAGGGAGTAATACGTAGGAGGAGATTGGCTTGCCTATGGTCATATGTCTGGAAAGCAGGCAGAACCAGTATTTGAATTTTTTCTGTAATTTTACATCTACTTGCAGCAATATTTTGTAACTGGAACTTCCTCACAATACCGACTTTGAGGCAGCAAGACGAAACAAGGCTCAATATATATATATAAAAAATGACTTTGAGAACTGTTTAGTATATAAATATCTTATTTGGGTTCAAGGTGGATCTAATCTATATCAAAGTTACTCTGTGTTATGATTTGGTACTAATGTAGCAATATTACCCCTTCAAATATACTTTGTGTTGCAGTGTGTATAAACAGACACTCACTTGTGCCTTCAAAGTACTCTTCTGAACATTTGAATAAAGGGGAAAAAAATCTTTCTCTAGCGTACTTCTAAGCCAATTGAGAGGTCATTGAACAGATGTCATATAATACTAATGTTAAATTACCCTGTGTAATAAGAAAATTACAGTATCTAAGTGAAGATAGTAAAGGAATACCATCCAATGAATTATTCTAGAATTTCAAAATGAAATGATTTCTTTAAAATTAACAGTGGCACCACCATATGACTTTAGAAAAGTGAGTCTGATAGAAGACAAACAGGACAAAAGTGAAGCCTTTCTATGTTTGTAATGCTTATTTTGATATAAGTGTTTTTAAGTTTCCAATTGTCTAAATTTTATTATTGTTAAATATCTGGTAGGGAATTTACTAAAATTTGATGAACTTCTTGTTGAGCTGTTTTAATATAAAATTCCAATAGTTGTTTCTAGTCTATATATTACTTCCTTTAGCTATTAGATACACTTTAAAAGCCTAATTATTTTGAGAACATAGTATGACCAAAGAATATAAAGGTAAAAAGTTTGACAACTTCAAATAAGCACTAGCATTTCTTAAAGAACAAACCTCACTTACAGTTAGGAAACAATATTTATATTTAAGGTTGAAAAGCCAGGATGTAGGAAAATTTTGCTAATTTGGAAGATGACCTTTAAGTGCACCAAAACCAAATAATTTGTAGGCTATGACATAGGGCACATTCCTACAAAATTTGTGTGAATACTGCTTTAGTGGTTCTTGAAAGACAAACAAAGAAAGCTGGAATGAAATCTTTATCCCCCTCCCAAATAAAACGGAGACTAACAAAGCGTACAGCAGCACTCTTTCAAAGCTTGCCATTAAAACGAGGTCTCTGTAGCACAGTTAATGAGATGGTCCATAGTGGAAAACAATCTGTTTTTAAGAATGTTTAGATCAAAAGTAATTTCTAATCTATGAAATAAAGTCTCTTCAATACCCTTCATTCACCAGTAAAGCTTTTATGTTTGTATTATTTACTTCAATCAGATGTTTTCAATTTTACCTTTTTCCTTGTACAAATACTTGACATGGTTCATCAATACTGACCAACAGTTTTATTCTTTTGCTTCAGAAGAGAGATTTTTGAGAGAGGGAGAATGAAAAAGAGAGAAACATCTTTGCCTAAACGATTTGCAAGCATCTGTGCTTTAAGCTACTTTTTATGAACACTTCTTAGTAAATGACTCAAGGTAAAAAAGCAGAAAAGCATCCAATGTTAGGAAATTGCAATCCAATACCATGTAATTTAAACCTGCAGTTGCTTCTCTTGTACTAAATGACATACAGATGGGTAGCTTAGTGTTCTCAACTTTGGGAACACAATTGGTCTTTTTGTATGGATGAACATATATTAACAAAAATATTTTGAACAGAATTATTTAATTCTTAGTGGTATAGATTTTAATTACCCATGCCATTGGAAAGAATAATTTTACCCAAGACATTTTATTGTGTTAAGTTTGTAATTGATGAATTTAAGATGGGGGTGAAAAATTAAAAAAAAACCTGATTGAGATTTTCAACAAATAACATAAAGATAATTTGTAAGAAGTGTGCAGTGAATGGGAAAAAAAAACCTCATCTATCAAAGTCAACTGATTAAGATCAGTTCTGCGTTCTGACTGTGGACAGACTTGTTCTGACAGGGAAACATTTCTATCACTCCTTTGAAAATATGAAAAATGTAAGTAGTAGGTATTTGAATAAAGCCTAGTGTAATATGGGATATGGAGAGATGACAGCCTGGTGTTCATTAGTGCTGTGCCTGTCATTTCTGTGCATCTTTTCAGGCCAGAGCAGGGCCAACAGGCTTTGTGGAAAGCCAAGAGAGGTGCTGTTGCTAGCCGACAGGCCCACATCAAGGTGACCTTTTCCTGTGGCCCTCACTGTCTCTTTTACTCTTTTTTTGCCTCCATATTTTCTCATAAAGAATCAACCACTACATTTTGGTGGCAAGGATTCTGAAAACTGAGAGTCTCACAATCAGGGTATTACAGCATTTGATACCTAAAAAAATGAAAGAAGTAGAAAGCATTTCTACTCCAAATTAATATTTCTTTAGATTTCAAAAGAAGTTGAGTAAAACATTGAGTAACTGAGCAAACTTTCTTTCGCTATTAAGTCTCTTCAAAACATTGTCAGAGATTTTTGCATGTAGGGCCATCTGCAGGATTCTTCCACTGTGTTGAGGTGGTAAAGAAAAAAAGTTTCACTATAGAGATTAAGGGCTGCTCTGATCCAGAGTTACATTTTTTAATTATTTGTGCAGATAAAATGAAATGCTACATATAAACAGCTTTTCTCTAAAATTTGTTCTTCAGCTATTCCAATTGAAATAAAATCTATCATTGCTATTAAAATCACATTGAAATTATTTTATTCAAATACACTTAATCAGTGACATCTTACTAGAAGTAATTTGCAAGTAGAAAATCAGGATGAATAAATAAAATCACATTCATGTTTCCTTGTCTTTTTCCTCCCTATTTTTATCACCCTTCCTATGGAACTTCTTGAGTTTGTTTTAGCATAAATGGCTATTCCTGGAGTTTATTCAAAGCTTCTTGCTGCCTATTTAATAAGGTCAGAGAGTCTTTAGAGAAACATTTGTTTTTAAGGACTCTGTAGAGCCTAGTGACATGATGAATAGAATAAGAGAAAGAGGCAATTCCTAGTCATGGAAAAGTATGTCTTTAGGCTTACTGTTAAATAAAGAGGATGACAGTGAAATCACCCAGAGTAGAAGTGGATTGAAGAAAGGTTCAGGATACTTTACTAAATTGAAAAATTATTGAATGGAGATTTATTGTTTAACATAATATGCCCATCATCTTATACAGATGGTGCCATTGCTTCAAAATAGAGCTATACTTTTTTGAATTCCTTTGAAAACTTTTTCCAAAGCACTGGGAAATATACGGGAGCACTTCCATCTTGTGTCTGTTCAGTGAGTTTGTTTTCACCGTCACATGCTTACTGGCTTTGCCTGTGACACATTTATTCATAGTTAGTGCTCCACTAGAGTCCATGAATCTCGAGAAAGTTTCTTCTCATGCAGAGAAATAATCAGCTGCAGTTCAGGTAAGTTAGTTACTTGTATTAGACACTAGTCTGATCACTGACAGGTGACTTCAGAAGCTGTGTTGTGGCAGTCGGCCAAAGCAATTATTTAGGATTCAAGCTAAAAAGTCTTCTTCTCCATATCCTCTTTCTTTCAGGGTCATGTAGGGATAAAAAGAACTGTAAGGTGGTCTTTTCCCAGCAGGAACTGAAGAAGCGGCTAACACCCCTGCAGTACCATGTCACTCAGGAGAAAGGGACAGAAAGGTAAGGCGAGCCGTGAGAAGTCATTTAGCAAGACCTACTTTCTTCAACCTCTGCCTACTTGTCCCTCCTTCTCCCCCTCCCCCAATCTTCTTCTTTGACATTTAATTTCAAGAATTCCACAGTTATTTGTTCAACTCTAGAAATTAGTATCCTTGAAAAGGTTGAAAATGGTATTGTTTAGGTTAAGACTAAGTTTTATTTATTTTTCTCCCCCTTTAATGAGCATTCTATCTACGTAGAATCACAAGGCTTTTGTTAAAGGGCCTGTTTTCAGTTTACTGCAAAATGTGTGGAAGTAATAGCGCTTTAGGTACATTTTTTGGGAAGACATCACAGTAAGCAAAACCATGAGGGGCATGGCCCTGTGCCAGGATGCTGAAATTTTGAAGGTGGTCATTGTAAGCATAGACGTTTTGGCTGCAAAAAGAAGGTAGCATAATTTACTTCCTTTCTACCCCACTCCAATTTCTTTTTGAAGCACATGTGGAGAAAGTATTTATTGGCTCATTTGTGGTTGGAATGTCAAAAATTTTCAATAACTGCCCTCACATGGCTTTGGTCCTTGGAAGTTCGCCCTAAGTTCTAAAAAAAAAAGTTTGTTCACTTCCAAGACTGTTTTTAGTGAATAAAGTCTCTCTCAGCTGATTCCAACCCAAAGGTAACTTGCCAAGGTCCAACCATTTTGTTGTCTAATTTATACTATGGAGCTTGGCGTAAGGCTGTAAGTTACCTCTGATCCAAATTTATTAGTGATGTAACTTCTTGTTTTCATTCATGAACTGAAAGAGTTCTTTACCACACATGGGGTCCCTGTTAATAATAGGCAACCCTCTTTTCCTGCCACAGTACATACTGTTTACCGAATGTCCCAAATGTTGAATCTTTGACAAAGCCCACTCTTACAGCACAGTGATTTGGGGTGGACTTCAGCTTCAACCCAGGAGGACTTCTACCGTCCTGTTGTGTACATGACTAGCAAAATGATTTAATGCACACAAACAACTAGAGATTAGGTCATTCTTAAAAATTCTGTTTATAAAAAAATTGGACCTCATAAAGAGGGTGAAAGGATAATAAAAACAAGCTGCAGAGCACATAGACTTTTTGTTGGGCTAGCACAGCTGATTTGTATTAGCTGAATGACCTCCTAGCCTTTAAGATTGTTAACTTAGAAAAATATTCCCTTAAAGCTGCAATATTCCCTTTCAAACCAAAAAATGACTTCTTCTACTTGAAGCCTTGGACCCCGCTATGTTTTGGGGTATCTACTATACATATTGTAGAATTGCAAAAATCTTATGTAACGTTCTCCCCCGTTTCTCCCCCCACCCGTAAATCTGAACCACAGTTTTTTTTTAACCCAAGCATTACATAACTAGATAACTTGATTAAAAAATTTTTTACCTGAACTAGTTTGGAGTACTTCTATGCACATTTTATCATATAGATTTGAACTATATTAGAATGTTTAGTTTTCCATATGTCTGGTCTGTCCTCATTTTAGGATGGAAAACACTTAAAAGGTTTATTAAAAAATATATTTAAAGCAACTACACTCTGTAAGAAATAATGGTGATTTTAATTCTCTTTTTATGTTGTTTATTTTTTATCAGTGCCTTCGAAGGAGAATATACACATCACAAAGACCCTGGAATATATAAATGTGTTGTTTGTGGAACTCCATTATTCAAGTGAGTGTGTTAGAAACCTGTGGATGTGAGCATATAACATTACAACATACCACTATTGTTTATTCACATTCAAACAATATAGTTACTAATTTTATTATTTATATTATTTTTTTTGAAATACACCCAAGTTAATTTGTCCAGTTCAATAACCAGCTATGAAAGAGATTTTGGTGATTCCAGAAATGTTTTTGTATTTTTATATCATCAAGAAATTCCCTAAATTTGTTAGATAATAATGAAAATTCTTTATTGTATATCCTTCAGGTTGAATAAAATCCACCAAATAGATTGTTAATACTTTGGCAGTACCTGCACTGAGAGTATCATGGGAGGTGTAATAGATAGTCACACATGGAATCAAATTACATGATAGGAATAGATAAACTTTTACACTTATACGAGATCTGTATTTTAATGATTCTAATAATTTACTGTAAAACAGACACCTAAAACACCTAGAGTATTTTCACAAAAATAGTTCATTTAGGCCATGTATTCCAGATATTATGGAACTTATTTGAGACAGAATTTTTTTTTTTAAAGTTTATGGTTCACACCTGGCTGTGCTCTGTGTCTGTTCTTGGCTCTGTGCTCAGGCATCACTCCTAGTGGACTCTGAGAACCATATGGAGTGCTGCGATTGAACCCGGGTCGGCTGCATGGAAGGCAAACGTCCGACCTGCTTTACTATTGCTGCAGCCTCCCCCAAAAGAGATCTTTACTAAAAACTTATCTAAGTGGAGAAAATTCTAGAAGCCCTCTCTGCTTTCTAGGGTATACCAATTTTGGGGAATGAAAGGATAGAAACTGTAATTGGGAGCAAATGTCATTTATTTTAAAAAGAACTGCAAATGTATTAAGAGAAATTTAAAAAATTGATATGATAGTATGTAAAATAAAACATCATATCTTTTCGTAAATGTATCTCTTTGAAAATACTAGCATTTGTAGATTTTCCAGAAATAACAGGAAATGATAGTCTTCTTGAAAACATTTTTAAAAAATTTAAAACCTTTCTGACATGAATTTTATTACACATTAATGTTGGTTGAGAATCTGTTTTGAATTCTTCCATATTGATTCTTTATGTTAATTCAACCCTTGGATTGTCACCCTTATCCTTCAGAAAACATACCTCCTCATATTTCAGCGTCTTTAGCTTGTGTCATAATTGAAGAGATATAATACTTTAAGAGTTTAATATTCCAAATTAAAATATCTCAAATGTTAATTTGTTAATATCCCAAATGGTAAAAATTGACCACATGCCTTTTTTGCTTTTTAAGATTCTCTAGCACTTTCCCTATCATGTGATACAATAAAATAATGGATCCAAGGAAAACTTACTGTTTTAAATAAGAAACAGAACCATTTTAACTGAAGAATATAATCCAAGTGAAATGTCAGGTGACAAATACAAAAAGTTTAGTCCTTTCCAGATTGGTGGTAATCAGAGAATTTCTTATACCTCAAGTTACTTTAGCAAGGAAAAAAAAAAATATATATATATAGGAAGGGAGGCACATCTGGCTATGCTCAGGGGTTACTCCTGGCTCTATGTCTATGTTCAGGGATTAGTCCAGATGATGCTCTTGGGAGGCATATATGGTGCTGGATATTGAACCCAGGTTGCCTTCATGCAAGTCAAGTGCCCTTCCCACTGTACTATCTTTTGGCCACGATATTCTTATTATACTTTTTAAAGAATTGTATGCTTCTGTTTACTTGGTTTAATTGTCAATTTTAAGAAAAAAAATCCTGGCTCTAGGTCACCGTAGAATAGGCTCTTTCACTGGCAACTGACCAATCTTTATATAGGAGAACTTGTACCATTGGTTTCTCAAAGATTTTCCAAGAGCCATGGGATATGGACTATTTCTAGTGAATCAGTTTTATGATCTTACTCTTCTATATGAACACTTTCCTCAAACTGATGTGCCCGAAAAAGTCCATGGTTATCCATGTTTTTCTTCCTGTCTTTCTTTCTCTTAAAATCACTCTTCTAATCAATGTATGACTGAAACTCAAACGTGAAAGTTTTGTGGCTGTAAAAAAAAAATCATCCTTCCTCCACTTCACAGAAGATACCATACCTCTCAGATTTACTGTGATTTATTGCCCTGGGATAAAATCACTCATGCATTAAACATAATGACAGTTCAGAAACATATTATTTCTGAAATATCAATACTTGAAAGAAAGACCAACAATATTGAAAAATAATTAACTGGTTAAAAAAGAGCATTTTTGGCAAGACTCTGTTGGCCAGATAATTGTCTACTTATCTATTTCCACATCTATTGACTTTTCTATTTTCTACCAGCTGCATACCTGAGTTGCCAAGAGAGTATGTATCAATTTAATTTACTCAAAAGTGTTTTGGAATATAGAGTAACTATGGTTTGATTGATGACAACAACAGCGAGGAATGATTTTGCAATGTAGTTTTTTTTTGTATGTGTGGAGGGGTGGTGGATAGGGTGGGCACATCAGGTGGTGCTCAGGGCTTACTCCTGGCTCTGCATTCAGGAGTACTTCTGGCAGCCCCAGGGAACCATATGGGATGCTGGGAATTGAGCCTAGGTCTGCCAGATGCAAGGCAACATCCTACCTGTTGTACTATTTCCCCCAGATCCATGCAAATTAGTTTTAAAGATAGACTTCTTCACTTATTAACATGTTGTAGCACTGCTGTCCAGTTGTTCATCGATTTGCTCAAGCGGGCACCAGTAACGTCTCCATTGTGAGACTTGTTGTTACTGTTTTTGGCATATCCAATATGCCACGGGGAGCTTGCCAGGCTCTGCCATGCAGGCGGGATACTCTTGGTGCCTTTCCGGGCTCTCTGAGAGGGATGGAGGAATCGAACCTGGGTCAGCCATGTGCAAGGCAAACACCCTAACCACTGTGCTTCTGCTCCATTACTCTTCATTTATTAAACATTCTAAAATTATACCTATAAGATTTCTTTGGGTGGGAAGTTTGGGTCACAGTAGTTGATGCTCAGGCACTGCTCCTGGCTGTGTGCTTGGAGTCTTTCTGGATATTGCTCAGGAGACCATGTGGTAGTGGATGGAACCCAGACCTCTCACATATGAAGCATGCTCTCAACTATACATCATGCTCTAAGATTGAAAATCATGCTCTAAGATTTTTTACAAAGCTTTATTTTCCACATGAAGTCTATGTACTGAACACTAGAAAATTCATCTTTTGTAATTATTTGAATTTTTGGTAAGAAATTCAAATTGTTAAAATAGAAGAAGTAGTATGTTTCAGTCATTGCCCAATCTGGATATAGATACCACTCAGTTTGATTAGGAGTTTAATATATAGAATTAGAAAGTATAACAGGAGTTGTGTAATGAAAACTTGTCCAATAAAAAGTAAACAAATTATCAAAGGCCAGAAATAGCAAATAGAAGAAGCAATTGACCATTAGAACTGAAACAGAACCCAAGAAATAGCATCTGCTGTAACCCTGCACCCACAGGGAGCTTTTCTGCTGTCTAGAGAGCACTGTCTCCAGAGGCACTCCATTATACAGCTACTTGAGTCTTTGTCAGTGGAAGCGACTGGCTCCCAGGGGCAGATAGTCCCTGTTTACACAAGGCAGCAACTGTGCTCGCCAGAGACTGGTTGCTGGTGAGTTGGCTTCCACTGAAGGAATTGCTGTTCATACTGCAGCACTTTCATGCAGGAGAAGCCACACAGGTTAAAGGATTGAGAAGTAGGTCTACACAGAAGATCCTCATGAATCTAGAAGTAAAAAAAATCAGATGTACCACAAAAAACTGATGCTAGAGAATGTGTATGTGGTACAGGGACTCTTTGAATAAGATACTGAAATCATGAAGGAAAACCCTTATTCTCTTGCAGTCTTTCTTTTATGCTTTTTACTAATAAAGTTTAGCACCAGTTAGCTGACAAAGAAAATGTAATAAAATGTTCTAGGTTAGCAGATCAGCAAGGAGTGCGGATTTGGAGGTAAGGAGGCAAAAAATTGATAACAGACTCTGCAAGACTCTGCACTTCCCGCCCCCTCCCCCCACCAAGTTTTCAGGAGTTTGTGAACAGAAGTTGGAACAACTCAGGAGTCTTGTGAATTAAGGTTATCACTACCTGATACCCTCTTGAGGTAGTTGGTTTCATACTTTACACTCAAGTATAGGAAGTAATGGTGGTAGGCAAGTGTATGTATGAGTATGTAAGTGTGGGGTGTTTTTTTTTAGAGAGGAAGTGAGGATAGAAGATAAGATAGAAAAGACTAGATAGAAGAACAGTATAAGAAGTAACAGCAGGAGGGACTCATATAATAAAAAGAATAAGTCTAGGTTTGAAATGCTTAATTATCAGTGGCATGAAAATGTTGTTTTTCTCATCCGCCATTTTCTGTTATCTTATTACACACTCGCTGTGTGTGTGTGGATGTGTGTACACATTCACATATATGTGTAAACTTCTCCTCTTGACTGATTATATGTATATATAATAATATACTTCCTATAAAAGGGAATTTAATTATTCTCACTTTATTTCCAAACATACTGTATCCTAAAATACATTCCTCCTCAATAATGTACTGTTTTCTTACTACTTGCCAAATACAAGAACCTCATTCACAGCTGCATATAAACCATATGCATAATTTCTTCCACAGTTCACATTTTACTGAGACTTCCCCCACCCCTCCTCACATAGTACTACTGGCTTTCAGTTAGTAAATTCATGGACAAAAATAAGAATGTTCTCTCCTCTTGTTGTTTGAAGTTGTAAGTTTCATAAAGAGGTTTAATTGTACCTCAGATAAACCTGAGAAAGCACTGGTGAAATAATTTTCTTGAGTGAGCACTTTTAAAAGAATTTAAAAAATATATCTCCAACTTAAAGATACTTTTTAGAATCTCAAAAATATAGGCAATTGCTTTTATTAATTCCAAAACAAGATACCAATGTGCTGATTTAACTAAACAATCAGTCTTACACAACAGGTTAAGTAA